TCATGCACGTAGATGGGGAACAGCTTCCATTGCTGATCAAGGAGGTGCACGTACTTGTTGTACAACTGGCCACCTTTCTTCGTCGGTTGGCCCAACTCATTGAGTGGCACAACCACTCGTCCGCTCGTCATCATAGACAGCTCTCTGGCTGTCAACCTCCTATAGACCTGTTCCTCTTAGAGTCTGCAAAATTTAATTAAGAAATAAATTATATATCAATGAATTAATACAATTTCTATATAAATTAAATACTTATCAAATTTAAAAAATTTAAATAAATACTTCCCACAAATTCCACTTTAAAACCTGCCTGTTGTTTGGGAGCAGGACGCTATGCAGTCTGGGGATTCTCATTCCCCTAAACCTGCTCCTCCTCCTCCTCCTCTTCGTCAGCAGCATCAGCATCAGTATAGGGTTGTTCATCCCCAGTAAAATGAGTCTCCTCAGTCCGCTCGATATCATCCTGCTCCATAAAGCTGATGATATCCTCCTCGCTGAGATCGTAGTCATGAATGCTGGGGAATGGCTCACCAGCATCATGACGATCCTCACTAGGTCCAGCTCTCTCAGGATCAACTGGCTCCTTCCCTGGCCGACAATCATCCTAATAACAACAAATAGTAAGTATTTATAAATAAAATAAAAAGAAAAATTATTTATAAGCCAAAATATAATAAATTAAATAAAAATAAAAATAAAAATTATTTATAAATAAATTACTACTTCTACTTGAAAATAAGGATCTGCAACTGAATCAGAACTCGGATATATTTTGTGGAGAAAATTCAGCAGAGCTTCGCTCCTGAACGACTGAAGAAGTGAAAGTGAAAGGGGGTATATATAGGCCGCGCATTTCTAGCGGTTCTAGGAATAACCGCTAGAAAATTTTAGCGGTTCTCAACAAAACCACTACAAATTGCTAACGGTTACACACCGCATTTAGGGCACCTTGGGAATTTACACCTTTTCTAGCGGTATCTAAAACCGCTAGAAAGTGCAACGGTCATATAAATCTCCTCGGGAAATTAAATATTTTCTAGTTGTTTAAGTGGAAACCACTAGAAATTCTCATACTCTAGCGGTTTGTTGGCCTGAACCGCTAGAAAATAAACGCTACAATTTTGGCGCCAAGTTCCCGCCAAAACCCAGGAAAGGTTCTAGCTGTGAATTTCTAGCGGTTAGGTTATAACCGCTAGAAATGTGCGGGCCCCACCGTCTAAATGGTCAAAGCGTCGCTAATTTGTAGCAGTTAGGTTATAACCGCTAGAAATTCTGACCCTTCTAGCGGTTTATTTGAACCGCTAGAAATGTTCTGCTGCTAACGTAACATTTCTTTGTTGTGTGTGTTCTCAATTACAACCCACTCCTTACCTCTCACTTTCAGTACTTCATGCCAAACAAGACCTTAGTGGTTACTTCACAACCACTCATCAACCACAAGTCCAATTACTTGGAGTTGCTGGGATTGGGGGCTCTCTAGCAGCGTATTCTAGTGTCTTGTTTGTCCTTGCTATGTTTTAAGATTTGTTTTTAAAAGGGTATTTTATTTGTTTCTCATTTATGTTGTTTTGTCTACCCAGTAACCTTGCCTTTCTAGATTAATTTTGGTTACGATGATAGTTGGTTTATGTCTTAGAGCTGATAAAATGGGCTGGCAGTACAGATACGAACCAGGCCACACTGATGGGGCATTGAAATAGCATGCACCTTAACAGGTTGCCAAGAGCCCACCTATTTTTTAAAAAAAATTATTATTATTTGTATGGGTTGGGCTTAGTTTGAAATGTTTGAAATTAGAATTGGAATCTTGAACTTGAGTAGTGGGTTCTAATAAAATAATGTGAGAATTAATTTATAATTTAAAGAGATATTTTAGAAAAACTAACACATGTTTTTTTATAAATAATTAATTTAATCATTTTTCTTATCCAAATTAATTAAGTAAATCTTTTACATGTGTGTATATATAAGCATCACATGTTATTTAATCTTATAAAGGTGTGTATAGTAACCACAACTAGATAAAAAAAATAAAAGATGGATGATGCTTTTATATAACTATACACATATATAAAGTGCTTAATTACATATGCAATGATATGAATGAGGCAATGTCCATGTGGAATTTGAGGGTTAAAATCCTCTAACTATATTATGTAATATATTGGAAATTTCATGAAAAAGTAAACCCAAAAAAAAAAAGTGGGCTAGCCCACAGCGAAGCAAACCAAAAGCGGTGTAAGCTGGAGTAGCCTGCACCTTGGTGGGCTGGCATTGCCTTTTTTTTTTAGCAGGCTAGCAGAGGTCCAACCCGTATTACCAGCTCTATTATGTCTGCAATGATGTGCTTTGTGAATGAAGCTTTTCTTAACTTCCAAGTGTTTTCTCCTCTTCCTATGATAGGAGGGCTGTTTGGAGCTGCTACAAGTTTTCCAGCATTGACCCTAAAGAGTATGGCCCGATTTGGTTCAATACAGTTCCTTTGCTACTTTCCTGCTACTATAATAAAATGCTGTCAAGGTGAAAACAAACCAAACAACCTGTCAAGAGCTTATGACCTAACCTGTTTTAAAATAGAAACAGACTCAGGCATTTTTAAAGGCCTATTTAGCCTAATAGGCTAGGCTTATATTTTTTGAGAAACCTAAATAATATAATCAAACATACAAAAAAGCAATCAAACATACCTCTCATGATAATGCAGTCACCATACTATTGTAAGCTGCAAAGGGGTTCAAGGTAACGTCCTCTCTGTGCTTTATTGAAGTTAGTCCTTAGATAACCACTCTCTATTACCATCTCTCAAATCATAGCATATAGAAATCGTTCATTGCTCTTTTCAGTCCACAGGACACAGGCTAGGCTTGGGTCCCTTATTTTACATGGTTTTTGGGCATGTTTTTGGGTCTTCTTGTTTTTTGTGGTATTTTGTATCTTTTTCCATGTTATAAAAAAATTTTCCTTAGGTTAAAAAAAATTGTTCTATTAGTCCACCAAGCAGTTTTTGGCAAGAAGGATGACACGCTAACTTTGAAGCAATCCGTATTATTTAAAGATATGATTATTGTAACTTCTAGTAAAATTGATGCAGATGGAGTATACATAGATTGCATGCTCAGTGATTTAAGTGGTTAATTCTTCATAAGGCTATATGTCAACCTCATCTTGAGCTTTGTGCCCTTTTTTTCTTTATTTTTTATTGGGAGAATCCTGCAAAAAAAAATTTTAAATTACTAAATTCCAAATCAAATTTAGCAACACAACATTTTAATATGTTTTGACGTTACTGAATTTGTACATAACATCATATTTTTTTGGAATTCCTAATTCAGGATATAGTAAGGGATCCTCCTCCTTTTTTTTTTTAAATTTAAACCCTTTTTAAGTTTAATTTTAAACTTATTATTAGAGTAATAAAAATAGAATCCATAGATCATACCATAAATTAATCAAGCACCAATTCATGGTTCTCGGTCAGACTATGATCACATTGTGATTTTTTTCCCCCTTTCAAAAGGAGCCAAATTGTGATTGAAACTTGTTCTAATTAAATTAATACAGCAAGTCATTATCCTTATGCCTTTGGTTCCATGCAGCATCTACATTCAAACTCCATCTCCTTATCTATAGTTAAAGGTTGAATATAGGAGAGAAGATTGGGTTGCAAATATTCAAGGCACAAGAGGCTTCAGATATATTGCTAAGTTGTCATTAAGAAGCAATTAAGCTTCACGAAATCTTACATTTTCCTCAACTTCCTCTGAAATATCATCTGAACAAAAAAAACTATAATTCTGTTGAGCTTTTACCAATAGACATTAGTCATAGTGGAAGGAGCTTTAACTGCTGAAACACGAATTCTCAAGCTTAAACAAGTGTAAATGCAGAAAAAATATCTGGGAAAACTACCTCTAATTGGACCCAAAAATACTCAAATCTGACCCATTCAGAGATAGGCACATTAGAGGGGAAAAAAACTATTGATCCGTCTAAAAATGAGAACAGCATAGAATTTGCATGAATTATGGTGAATTAATGAGCACAAGTCACACAGTACAAGATTTATACAACAAATTAATGTGAAGCAGAGGAACGAAAAAATTGAAAGAAAGCAGCAGCAAGAAATTATAGACACAAATGAAGAATCAGGTAATTCCCTTCTAGGCCATCTCGTTTAGATTCAATAACATTTCCTCCTTTTGCCTTGAGCTGAATAGTGAGATAGGTCATCAGTGAATCATCTGGCGCGTCATGGAATCCAAAATCATTCTTTAATCAAAAGCCAATTTACATAATCGCACACGAACACGTTTTATCATTCCCAATCTCAAATTCATCATCTGATTCATCTGCTTGCTGCAAGAAAAATAGGAAGAAGAAAAAGAAGAAGTAAAACTGAGGAGGATAAGGCATCCCCTTATAATTGCTGTTAAAAAAAGCGCAGCAAAATAAAGGAAAGAACATCAAAACATAACAGGCCTTAACCCTGCATAAATATCATAGCAAAGCCAGGAGGAAAACTTTAATCCCACAAGAGCTCCAAGAATAAAAGTTTACAATAGAATAATTAAGCAATGCTCTAATTGACAGAAGAATTGAAAAGGCATATTGCCATTAAACTATTCATTCCTACTCCCTCCAAGACCCTCTTAATGGCTTAACCAGAAGTTGATCAAAAATGGAAAAGAAAAACTTCCAAACACGAAAGGGTCAGATTTCTTAATAGACAATCTTAATCACCATAATTACCCACGAGCCCACTGCACACTGCATCTAAGGGGAGAGATGAAATCGATTAGCATCATATATTTTTAACAGCAAACAGTACTCTGCACCAAACCACCCATATACATAACAATTACTATCAGTCCCTTCACACTTGGTGGGGCCACGAATGATACTAGGTGGGATAGCCAAGATGAAGATGTTGAGGTGGATGTATAGTCATACAAGAAAAGATAAGATTCGTGTGATAGACATATGTGCAGAAAAGTTGGAGTGGCTTCTACTGAAGAGAAAATGATAGAAAATTGTTTGATATGGTTTGGTCACATTTAAAGAAGGCATTTGGATGTGCTGGTGAAGAGGGTTGATTAAACATGATGGAATCCTGTAAAAAGGATAGAGGAAGGCCAAAGTGTTCTTTTTATGAAGTTATTAAATGAGATCTTTCTATCAACAAATCTAAAGATTTGGCTGTTAATAAAGCGCAATGGCATTGTACGATCTATATAACCGATCCCCACCAAACGGGATAAGACTTTATTGTTGTTGTTGTTTTATCACTCCCTCCCTGCACCTTTACAACACTCAAACTCACTTGTATGCATAAATGTTACTTCATCCGTTCCTTATTATAAGAGACATTTGATGCTTATGGCATGTTCCCATATATAAGAGACACTTAAAAGTGTCTCTATTTTTTTTGTATTGATTTCCTATTTTACCCCAATTTATTTTTGCCTCCAACTCATACTCTCTCTCCCTCCCACTTTTCTTTCTTTTAATAATTAATTGTTCTCTTCATACTCTCTCTCCTTATTAATGGGGGCATTGTTGGAAAAAATATTATACTTTTTACACATTAATTGTTCTCAACTAATTTTAACTGTTTTTTTTATTAACGTAATTTGGTTATTTGTCTCTATAATAAGAAAGGGAGGGAGTAAGTGTATAAATGTATAATCTCCTTATTTCATTTAAGTTTCATTAATCAAGCACAATATTTCATTCTTTGTGAAACTAATTGATTGCATCAATGAGAATAATTTGAATCTTATTCTATTAAGATTACAAGTCTATGATAATGCATAAAAGGAAAAACTAAAGCATGAATCCAATGAATGAGATAAGAGCCGAATGACTTTCTAAGGAAAAATAAACAAATGGAGGACTGGAGGGAAAGCAAGGGATCAATTTTCACCAAAAACATATGTTTCCCTCAGCCCTATACTAGCTTTACTTAGCATATAAGGACCTACCATACTATTGTTTGATAAAGTGTTGAGCAGTATGGAATGCCTAATATTCACCAATAATAGACTAATGTAATATGGAGTGCCTAAATCCTAGTTGAGTAGTATGGGATGTTCTACAAGTAAAGTGGATTGGATCTCCCGTCTTATAGCTAGTTTTTGGAGGAGGGCTTCCCTCACTTGGGCGTCTTGTCTATCAGTTGGTATCAAAGGTAGTGGTCAGTAGTTCCAAAAAGATCTACCTATGAAGGAGTCCCGTCTTATAGTTGAGTAGTATGGGATGTTCTACAAGTAAAGTTGTTAAAGGTAAACAGAGAGAGAAGAGAGAGAGCAGAGAGTAAACAGTAAAATATGTATTCAATCAACCCCCGGTATAATTTCTAACATCCTATTTATAGACCACTAGTCCACTACCCATTTCCCATTTACCTTCTTGCCCCTACTAATACTATAACCAATTTACCACATGTCAATATACTCCCCCCCAACAAAAGATCCTTGTCCTCAAGGATCAGTATAAAAGTGGAAATTAAAACATGTAAGTGGGTAAAGCACTTTTTTTTTTTTTTTTTTAAGATCATAAGTTGCTAAGACTGGAAGGAGAAACAAAAACAAAAGGACATGAAAACCCAAACTTGTTGCAGCTTTCCTTCAAATCCCAATTCCATTGTTGCACTTGATGCTAAAACCAAACGAGTAGAAAGCCCATAATTGGTGAACGAGACCATCGTCAGTAAACCACCTTTCCCAACCAATTGCCAGCAGCATTTTTTTCCCCCAGTCACAGCTAGAGTGCTTCCAAGGCAACCAAAATGTTGAGCCATGATTGCGGGTGACAAGTGCACGCTCCTTACCCATCATAGGAAAGGTTTCACTATCAGTAAATGATCGGCCCTTAACTGTTGCATACAAACCAAAAATCCATACAACTTCCAGCCATAACAATTCTGTCACAATCCTATTGACATAACACGTTGCCACGGTGATGAGATTAATGACAAGAACAAAGGCTAAGAAGATCAGGCCCAATGTTATGATAAAAGCTGCAGTTGCAACAGCCATGGTCAAGCACAAAGCCACAGACACACCTTCCCCAATTTTGATAGAAGCAAAGAATTCCTCAGAAACAAAAAGTTCCTTTGCTTCAATCGCTATAATTTTTGGCTCTACCTGCAGTAAACTGCCGCACCACATCACATTTGAGATGGAAGCGAAAAACTCGAAAGGCGAATAACAAAGCTCTTTGGCTTGGGTAAAGATTTTCGGGTTCAATAAGACCGGCAAGGAAACGGACGTCCCACCCCAAAGACGCCCCAACAGGCCTGTTTCTTTACTCCCCGTAAATCCAACAAAAGCCAGCATCACATTAATCCCTTTAGTGTTTGGGTTCAACCCGATTTCAGCACCAGCCCTACCCACCCAGAATGTAAAACCATCTCCGTCTTTGCTGAGCTGATCTCTGACTTCATCGATCAACAACTCACTTCCAGCCGTTCGATCATAATCCCTCCACTTGATGAATAACGCAAACAGCTCCAGCGAATGCATTGGAGTTCGCATAGGGTCGTTGATGCATAGGTCGGCCAGTGTGTTCTCCATTCCTCCTACGAAAAACTTCTCGTCAGCAGCAGTGCTGGACAACAATAATGGTGTGACAGCACGGTAATGAAACGCATCAGTTATGCAGTGGCCTGGACTCAAGGTTTTGACCTCTGTAATGAATGGAATCTGCTTAGTGGCCTTCAACAGATGTGTTCATAGAAGACACAGACACAGAGGTGTTCGCAGGCAACGGAAAAAAACAGAAGGAGCTATAAGGGCTTGCAACTTGGACTCATCCCCAAGTGACTGTGGAAGGGGGCCGAACTTGGTCCCAAAATGGAAGAAGACCTAGAGGTCCCAAAATTAGTAGTTCGAGCAGCAAACAGAGAAGACATTTGTGACGTCTTGGGAACAGAGAAGGATGGGCGTGCCCTCTTGTGTAAAGCCCAATAGCATCGAAGGTATAGTAACTGTTTCGCTAGGAAGAATCGTTGATGAAGGTAGAGCATCCCATAATGCCGGAATCCATCATCACTCCCGCAACTAAGCAGAGGTGCTGGTTCTTTCATTTGTTGATCTGTTCCCATCTTCTTGTCCACCTAGTGGGATAAGGCTTCTTGTTGTTGTTGTTGTTGTTGTTGTTGTTCCCATCTTCTTGTCATTCCCACGTATTACTTGATTTGCTTTAGCCTCACCGATTTGAGTCTTTCCATTCACGACTGCAGCTACATTGTCATGTTGAGATGATTCCTTCATAGCTTCGTCTAATTTCTCGTTGTTGAGATCCTTCAGCTTGTCATCGACAGAAAGTGTGCATTTCGAAATCACAGTAACTTCTTCAACTCTCTCAACTTTTGCGTTGGCCTTCAACTCCACCATTGTTTCTGCACCAGCTTCCGTGTCCTGGTTCTCATTGGTCAAGTTGTTCATATCATCATCGTTGGCTATTTTGTTTTCGGTTGCAACGATTTCATACAGATTCGAATTGTTCCTAACTTCATCTCCATTTTTCTCATCTGATTCAATGAGCAGAATAGAGGTAGATCCCCCTTCGCCTAAGTCAGTGACCGGATCTGATGAGACATAGGAGATTTGAGCAAGAATAACTTGGAGATATTCATCCAACCTACTTGTCGATAATTTCAGATCATTGATAGCCAGAGCATGTTGGTCCAAGCATGAGTGAATAGCATCAAGGGAGACTTGCTGGAGCTCAAGTCGATGCTCCAAATCATCAATGCATGCAGAGGATCGAATGTCCGGCGGTGGCGCCATAGACCGGACAAAAGGCTCTGATACCTTTGTTAAAGGTAAACAGAGAGAAGAGAGAGCAGAGAGTAAACAGTAAAATATGTATTCAATCAACCCCCAGTATAATTTCTAACATCCTATTTATAGACCGCTAGTCCACTACCCATTTCCCATTTACCTTCTTGCCCCTACTAATACTATTACCAATTTACCACATGTCAAAAGTAGATTGGATCTCCCGTCTTATAGCTAGTTTTTGGAGGAGGGCTTCCCTCACTTGGGCGTCTTGTCTATCAGTTGGTATCAAAGGTAGTGGTCAATAGTTCCAAAAAGATCTACCTATGAAGGAGTCCATGAAGCAAGGAAGCCAAAATGCAGTGTTGCAGACTATAATTCTCAAGACATCAAGCCTCCAAGAGGGGCTAATTAGTATGCCTAAGTCCTATATTGAGTGGTATGAAATGCTCTATGGCATAATAAAATGAGTTAATTCTTGTGTCAATACCTAGGTCACGTTTGGTTCAATGGAAGCATTTTGATGGAAATGAAATTGGAAGGGGAATTGGAACAAGAAAGAGAATAAAAATGGCTTTCAAAAGTACATTTGGTATTGAAAATTTGAATGGAATCCTGCTATGACTTTTGTTCAGTATGTTGGAAAAAATATTTCAATGGAACGGAAGGTTAAGAAGAGAAAGACCAAAATGTCCTGAACAAAAAAATACAATTTCCATTGGAAAAAAAGACCCCATCCAACAACAGATCTATAAGCACCATTTCATCTTCTCCGATGCGCACAACAGAAGATAGTGAACCTACCAGATCTCTCCTTTCATTATTTTCTTTTTCCTTTTTTTTTTTGGGTGCAGTGGTTAAATGAGCAGTTCTTTCCCACCAATATGGTGTGGTGCTTGAACAAGTAATGATCAGCAAGGAAGGACGCATTGATAGCCTCAAATGCCATTGGTGGGAGATCTTTGAACTCAAAAGGAGAGATCTGGAGGGAGAGAATGATCTTTGAACTCGCTAGGGAAGGAGAGATTTGGAGGGAGAGTGTGATCTTCATGTTGAGAGCTTCAAACACCGTTGGTTAAAGATCTTCAAACTAAAAGGCGGAAAGAGAGATATGTAGGGAGACATTGATCTTCAAAGTTTGAACTCACCGGTGATGGAGGAAGGACCAAAAGAGAGATCCGAATGGGTCTTGGAAATTTGACAAAAGCCAAGGGGTACTATGGTCATAAAAATTGGCTTTCTAGGTAAATCCATATTTTCCAAAGGGTGATGGTGGGAAGCTATTTTCCATGATTTTGATGGAATTGGCTTCTTGAGGAAACAAAATGATCCAAACCAAACAGACTAAAATGCATTTTCCAATTCCTTTTCCTTCCTATTCATGAGTTACAATTCCAGTGAACCTAACGGCACCTTAGTTTTTGGTGGGAGGATTCCCCACAGCCTAAATGGGTGTCCATCAAAAATAGTTTAAATTGGTGAGAGTACAAGACATGGGCTTGGAGCCTCATACTTCCAAACTTATCATGAGACAAGAATTACCATGTCAAAGATTAAGTAAATTTCAGTCTTGACTATAGTCACACTATTCTCATGTGCAGCATGGGCAATAATGAGAAGCATGAATAGCTGATTAGGCTCTACCAAGCTTTTAACTAGCATCAAGAATCAAGAATAGTCCCCATCAAACTTATTAGTACATATAATGAGAAATTCATGAAACGCTTACAGCTTGGAATCTAAGTGAAAATCTTGAAGCACAATCAACATTTAAATTTATGGGATATTCACATACTTGCAATATCATTTGGGCTTATATTAATCTATTCACTTTTCTCGGCGAATTTGAACCCAGGGCTTGGGATTTTTATTTATTTACATTTCCAAGGTGGACACAAGAGCTTCAGAAGAGAAGCTACATATGCACTTGTTCTGTGCACAAATGAAATTTTGTCCAACAAAATTGTAAATCTGTCTAACTCAATTAAGCCTCATATTTGAAGTGCGACAAGCTTAATATGTCATTAAATGATAATAAATGCTTCGCATTTAAACCAGATTTCATTTAAAACAGATTAACAGAACAAGAAAGAAAGAAAGACAGGAAAGAGATTTCATAGATTCCTGTGATTCATTGGATGTCATTAGCCCAAGAAAAAGCAAAAGAAAACTTAACAAATGCAAAAGGAAAGTGAATTTCCAAAAAAACAAAAAATGTTTGTTTGCCCTGCAAAATAACTGGGACAAATCTCCCTTTACAAAAGAATGTATAGAAATCAGAAGATAAAGTACCTGGGTTCAAATTCTCGTATATCAACCAGCTCACTCCCATAAGCATCGGTCCACTGAACCTTCCTCTCCATTGGACAAGGAGGGCCACTACCCTTCCCACCTTGTCCATCCTGCTCATTAACCACTTCATCAGGAACCGGTTTATTATTTGGTGGCTTTTTTAGGCTACTTTTAAGAACAATTGTTGTATCAGTGCCATCATCAAGATGAAGAGTAGGAACCCGATCCTCTCCCTTGTCAGAACTCTGCAGCCCAAGTGAAACATCATGCTGTTGGGCAGGACCCACTTTAAGAGGAGATTTAGTGTCAAGACCTCCAGAAGTGCGACCAAAGCAAACAAATGAGGCGCACCCCTGGTAAAGACGATTCTTGGCAGAAGCCAGCTGGAGCTCAGGGTCAGTTTCTTTGTCTACCAACTGGTACTGGTTCAACGGTGAAACTCTCATGGGTTTGTCCTCACTCCTCTGACCCAAGAGAAGAAGGGTCAGGCCCTTACTATATCCTGAAGCTGAAGCAGAGAAGAATCCTCCTCCTTCTACTGCCAATAGCATCAGTTCTGCTCATCGGCACACCAGAAAATAATTTATTTATATGGCTGCCTGCCCACAGAAGAACTGAAGCTCAAACCTTCCGTCCAAAATTGAGATCAGCATGACTTTCAGTTACGGTAGAGTCAAAATATTTTTGTTTGTTACCATTTATATATTTTTATTATATCTCTTACCATATCTTTCAAGTCTCTTTATTCGCATTGAATTACAAAGAAATGGTGAATATTCTCAATTTAAAAAATGCAACACTGTAAAGTTACGCCAAATATAGCAAAAGGACATACATAGGAAGTTACAGACTTAAAAGCCACAAGACAAGCATGAGCACACAGGATTTCACACGCCCGCGGTCTCCTGGTTTTCCAAAATCATGTCAAAATTTCATGGCATGGAAGGTTAGATAGCTGAAAATAGATCAAAAAAATTGCTTTCGCTCAGAAATATCATCAAAACTGCTCAAAATGTCTTTGCTGGGACAAAGTTAAGGTTGTAGGTTGTAAAGAACAAGTTTCAGAAAAAATATTAGCTCAATCAGTACTCGTAGCCACTTTCATGTACTATCGCAGAAGTTTTCTAAACAATCCAATGGATACGCATAACATAACTCGAAAATATAAAATATATAAAAAAAAAATCAAACAAACAAACAAAAAGTTGGGCAACAGCATAAAAAAATCAACTAATTTCTGGAATCTTACACATGAGAAAACAAGGGGGGGGGGGGGGAAGAGTTGCAAAGATATCAAATAGACACTACAGTCTACAGACTAGTTTTTCCCCTGGGCCTGAAAAAAGAGTTGAGCGAATAGCAAAAGAAGATCTCTATGTCTAGGCAACCCCACCCACACAAAGGGTAGCATACAATTCTTGAAATTTCCAACTCCATATGCCAACATAAATCGGAAGACTGTTGACTTAAAGAAGAATAAGAATAACCAAAAAAAAAAAAAAAAGATGATGCCGTTGGAGTATAGCTGTTCATCACAAATGCAGGAGAAAAACAATCGAAAGCACAAAGATGGAACCCCGAATATTCAGTTACTACACCTGAGCACAATTAAGACCAATTCTTTGACAATGAGGTTTCTACCTTTCTACACTGACACCCTCAAGCAAATAACTCAGTAAAGCAAGATTCATAGTGTCGGTTTCCATCACTTTCCCGGGGAAAACAAATGGAAATTACAGATCAAAGTAAAATGGAACTTGCAGTACCTGGTGGCGTTGCAAAATCAACAGGGCAGGCCTCCGGCAACCACAGTGGCGCGCAGAGCCCAGAGCTACCGCATCTCCGATGGCCAGCTGGAGGAATAAATCGGCGAGGAATTAAAGACGAATTAAAACTTGAAAAGAAAAAAAAATTTTAGATGTGCAAAAAATAAATAATTATCAGGAAGATACGGATAGTGACCATTGGCGCATGATAGCGATGGGACTCCATTTTTTCTTTTTCTTTTGTTTTGTTTTGTTTTTTTTTTTTTTTGATCGGATGCAGAAATTTTATACTCCATTCTCATTATCCTTTATCGTTTTTTTATTGTTTATTTAACACATATTTAATATGTTTTACTGAATTTAAATGATACTAAGATTGATAATTTGTTGGCATATGATTATTACATTATGATATCATTCTTAATGTTTTAAAATTAAATGTGTCTAAAACTCTAAAAATTAAATTATTAATTTAAATATTCGAAATGTATATAGATTGATTATAATTGATTTTTATACTTTATATATAAAAATATCATAATAAAATGCAAATAAATAGTTAAAAAAAAGTTATCTCATAGAGTAATGGGGATGTAATGTCCTTTTTCGCTGACCAAATCATACAATTTTGTTGGGTCACCCTCATAATTTTAAGGTAGTCCTTCTCTGTTTTCTTACTTCATAATTCATACTTTCTAATCATCTTTAATGTTACTTCTTAATTTCCATTTCAGCGGAAAGTTTAGTGAAGTTTTCATCTCCACCTGGGGGATTAAAATAGACTATGGTCTATCAAGGGCCGAATATGACTTAGCCTGGTTAAAAGCTACGCTTTTAAATTTAAAGCCTCCTCTAAAAGCCTATAGACCTGGCCTGAATAATCTTTTAAAATTATTTTATTAATACATATAAATATATATAGGTTTTTAAGTGTATCAAAAGCCTACATTTGTGTAGATTTAGGATCCGTTCGGATCAACGATTGGAAAAGTAGCTTATTAGAAAAGTAGCTGATGAAAAATTGAAGTTGGTAAAAACTAAATTGAATAAGCTAATTGTGTTTGGGTTTGAGTTTAGAAAAGCTAGTTTGCAAAAGTGAGATTAATAAAAGGTTGTCTGGATTATAGTTGAATAAAAGTAAGTTTGGTTATAAAATGACCAAAATATGTATGAGTTTTAATAAATAATGAAACATGATAAAAAAAATAATTTCACATAATACAACGAAATTAAAATAACTTAATATGAAGAAGTCAAATTTACTGAGTAAATTAAATTTTAAAATTTTAAAGAAATCATAAAAAATATTTTAAATATAAAGTGAAACATGAAAAAAAAAAAGAATTGAGATAATATAATGAATTTAAATTAATCTAATATGAAGAAGTGAAATTTAATAAGTGAATTAAATTTAAAAACATCAGAGAAATAAAAAAATATTGCAAATATAAAGCAAAACATATTTTGAATAGATAAAAATGTTTTGAACTCCAATTCATTGTATTGTGACAAGGTGAAATGAAATAATATTACATAATTAATTAACTAATAAACTATAGATAATTTGGTATCTGATTGCATCATGGATGCGATTCATATGCGATGAAAATTGTGATATAATATTTGAAGACGATGGTTGACTAGTTTCAGCCTGATCATGTTCGCCAACTATATTACCATTTTTAGCTTCTACAGAAAAGGTGTCATGTTTGATTATAAATATAAGATCTTAATTCATTTTGTTTTCAATATTTATCTATTTTGCCCGTAAGTGATTACACATCTTAATGAGTTTCTATTAAAAAGTAGCTTTCAATGCACACGATTTGTGGGAGTATTTTATAAAAAATAATATCCATTTATTACATATAATTAATTAAATTAATTTTTTTAATATTTACAAATTAGTTATATTTTGTACTTGAAAAAAGATAAGTCTAAGTTTGAATATAAGTAAGATAGTATAATGTAATTTAAGATAAATTATTTTAAAGAAGTGGGACCCAACTTTTTTCATCTTCTCTCTCTACTTCTTAAAAGTGATAAGCTCTAAATTTTAGCTTATGACTTATAGTGGCTTTTTATTCAGAAGCTAAATTGTTTTTAAGCCATAACAAACATTTCCAGCTTCTTTCAATCTGCTCTATTGCGCATTTTGACCCAATAAGCTACTTTTTGTCCATGGAAACACTAAAACAAATAGGCACTTAGTAGGCTCAAAGCTTATTTACAACCTTCAAAACTAGAAAATGTGAGATCTTTTTAAAGACCTACATTGTAAGTAGATCTTTAAAAAGATTTCAGGCCTGCAAGGCTTTTCAAAAGCTCAAAGTTGAGCTAAAAACACACGCACGCACGCACGCACAGACGCACGCACGCACGCGCACACACACGTACACACACACACACAGAGGCTCAGACTTAGACTCAAGATCAGACTTTAAACTCTCATTACAGGCTTAAGCCTATTTGACCAAAACTTGGCCTTGTGTGGCTTATTTTCATCCCTATTTACCTTAACAATAAAAAAAAAAAAAGGAATTCATGCCAAACAAGAATATCAACAACTAGCTTACCCAGAAAAAAAATATCAACAACTACTACTATTACTCTAATGGAGTAAAATACACCAATCACCATTCTATTTTATCTCAATTATAAAAAAATTCCTTTCATTTTACATATATATATATACATATAAACCTCCTTTAAAATTAAAAATTATGTTACACAGATAGCCCTTCTATGTTTAAGATTCCATTTCCATCTATCCAAACCGTTAATTAACCGTTAAATTTGACTTTAAATTACTTTTTGACCAAAATGCTCATCTTTAACATAATAATTATTTAGACCTTTATATTTTTCAAAACATTTTTTATAAAATCAAAAAATAATTTTAATACACATATTTTTAAAATTCCTAATGTTATAAAATTTACTAATTTTGATTTAAATCATAAAATTTTATAATTTTAATTTTTTATTACATTCATTATAAGTTATTTACTTTGATTTTTTTGAAATTGTAAAAACATATTTCAAATACATAGTATTTGTTTATCATAAAATTTAAATGATATAAATTATTTAAATTTATAATTCAAAACTTTTAAACACATTTTTGTTACAAAAGTTTATAAACATATTTAATCAAGTATATATATTTACTGAAAATATTAGTTAAAATTTTAATTAGGTCTTTTATATTTGTCTTAACTAAATGAAATTTATGTAACTGTAAAAATGTAATTTAGGAATTCATTGGAATGAGGGATAAAATGGTAAATAAAATAAAATAAATTTCATTTGAGAAGAATATTTCAGAATTTTGTTTAGAATATTTTGATGGGATTAAACTGTATGTTTTTAAAATAAAAAGGACGTCTGTGTAATTGATACAAACTATAAGGTAATAAGAATATTTTACTCAATAATAATAATAGTAGTAGTAGTAGTGAAAAATTAATTCGTAATGGTTATAGTGTTTTTTTTTTGGCTATATAAATGCTTATAGTTGACCTCAACTTTGAATCATATTCTTGTAGATTATTTTGTTTGAATCAGGTTCTTATAACTTGATTTGTTATGGATATTCGAAAAGCCTATAGATGAAAATTTTTTGTCAATAATAAGGATCCAAATTAAGTAAAATAAATTACAGGGAATCTTACTTAAAATTGAGGTAAATTATAAAGATTTATAGGTTAATTTTCTTTGATGTAGATGATGATAATAAGAACAATTTAAATACAAGGAAATAAACTATAAGTAATGTTAATAATTATAATATGAAAATTAAAAAGAAAAATTCTCTAGAAAAAAAGAAATCACTATAAAAATATGTTGTCATTTGTTTTTTAAGTATAATCAATTATTATTAAAGTATAATAAATAAGATTAATTTGAAAATTTGAAATTTAAAAGTATTTTTTGAGAGATTTTCTCAATTAAAAATTCAGTTAGATAGAGTTAGCGTCAATTAAGATCAATAATTGAATTGAAACCGACCAAAACAAATTGTCGAGGACAGCAACAACAAAGAGGAGTGGGCCCTGAAAATAGATTGGAAAATGAAAGGGGGGAAGTTCCAATGTGAAAACCCTCTTTGTGGGTTCAAATGATGATTACGTGGGAGTTGGGACCATACCTAAAGGCCATGCTTGTTGGATCAATGATTGCGTAGTCGAAAAGTCAATACGGTGTCGTCCCATCAATTTCCTTTCAGACAAATTGGAAGAAAAATAATAAGAGAAAATGTTGGAAGAAGAACTTTAAATTATCAAAACAAGTGCTAAATTTACATACTTTTGCTAAATAACTAATCTGTGCATGTTAAAAAGTTTAGTTAAATACATTATTTATAATAAATAAATACTCCTCTGTTCCTTAATATAAGACATATTTAACTAATTTAATTAGATTAAAGAGGTTAAGTAAATAGTTAATTATAACAAATATGACATGTTTTTCCTAAAACACCATAATTATCTTTCTTAATATCCTCTATTATTTACTTATTTGATTATGGTTGAAGGAGTATCTATAGAGGTAATTTAGAAAAATTAATAAATATGAGAATAGATCTTATATTTAGGATCAAAATTAACTTAACAATCAGGTCCTATATTAAGGATTAGAAGAGTATTACTTTTCTTAAAATACTTCTATTAATTATATATATTGACACTATCCTTTAAGCTTTTAATTTGTGCAAGTATTATAGAAATTACTTAGAGACAAATAAATAAATATTAGAAACAAAGTAAATAAAAATTTATAATTAAATTTCTAATAATTCTTATTAATAACCAAGGCAATAATTCCAATTCGTTGAAATACCTAACTGGGATTTTAGTACTTAGCCAAACAGATGAAAATGCCTCTCCCTTGAGGGGAGGAAAAAAGAATTACATCAACCAGCCATCTTGTCAAGGACTTGCGACTCCCCAGTGGTTTTTTTTTTGTTTTTTTGACCCAAGGGGCTCCCCAATGGCTAATGGCTAGTAGGAGTGAGCAAAACCGAACCGTAACCGAAAACCAAACCGAACCGAACCGAATTTAATTTCGGTTTTTCGGTTCAGTTATTTCAGTTTT